AGCGGGCGAACAACAGAGAGTTGGCAAAATATGTCAGTATAACTTTTCATTCCTGAGCTCTTGCAAGGCTGACCCTGATACAGGGCAACGACTTCTGGAGCACTGATAGGAACCGCACGCCTCATCATGCAGCTTCACCTGCGAGCCCATCATCCCCCCCTCGCTGGCGCAATCTATTCGGTTCGCTGAGTTTCAACACTCCATCTGCAGATATACCCCAAGCAATACCGCTCCAGCCCAGGCGTTGGAATTTCAGATCTCCCATAAGAATGTCGAAGCAGCCCGTCGACTCGGTTGTTGCTCCTTGTCGCGAGGATGACGTGAGTCGCTCGTCCCCACTAATATTCGCCTGTTTCTTACTATTCAAATAAATTTGCAGAGATATGGCATCGCTCCCGAGACTGACGAAGAAGCGGCGGCAGCTATGCAACGCCTAAACGGCAACAATGCTGACAGTTCAATGCAACAAGGTCAAGTTTCAGCAGAGGCACAAGGGTCTAACGCAACACAAACACAAGGCTCAACTGGTGGGGTGGGGGAAACTTCCTACGAAGTGAGCTGCTGCGGATTCTTCTTTGGTTGCCGTCGTTCTGCCTCGCATCAGGCATGAGGTCAGTATCTGATGAAGCCCTCTCTGCTATTTGATGATGGTTTTCTCTTTTCCCTTTCGTGTACGTTTACAGGCTATTTCTCACGCTCCTGCCATCCTATGTACATTGAGCATTCGATTGTATCCGTCCAGATCACCCTATGCTATGAAGTATGACGCATGAGATCGCCAAGATGCACTATGGGAAACCTCACCGAAATTCCTCTACTTACATGGTTTCGTTTGATCGGCCTTTTCGGTGTGGACAGGTGCGTTGAGAGAGTGAGGTCGTGAACGAGAGACTCACTGATGACGCTGAACCGTATGACCAAGCAGTCGATTGATGGAGATTCGGGACAAGTCGCGGTTCTTCCTGGTCACACCAAAATGCCCTGGAGACCTGTGTCTGACTCCCGATGCAAAGACTTCTTAGTTCGTGGGCGTGTGTTTTGTACGTAGATTCTTTTTCTTACTTTACAATTCAGAATCCTCACTGCTCGGTCCCCCTTGTGCCCTTGCGTCGATCATACTCCGTTCCCCACCGGGGTGGAGTAGTCAATGCTACAACAGTATGGAGTAGTTGTAACCCATAAATGAGATATGGTGGCAGAGATTACATCTCAGTTCTGTTCATCCATAGAAAACGAGTATCCCTGGTTCTGTGACGGTAGGTACGCAGACGCTGGGATACCTGCGATCCCAGTTCCTAGGTAAGTAGACGTCTATGTCATACGATTAGTGCGCCAATCGATCGTGTGCCCCAGGGCTGACTATATGCGTCAAGTTAAAGGTGCATCTGAATTATAACAGAAAGAAGGTAGTTTACCAGCATATCGTTTGTGATTACGTTCATCACAGGCGCTGTTATCTCCTGCATTGCCACCTAATCAAACACGGATCTGTCTTCGAGTGAGTAGTGACGTTCGAAGGAAGAGACTGAAAGAGAAACACTAGATTTCGTAGAGTTATTTAGAGAGGTCTTGTTCGACATGAAGGGATCGAAAAGAAGTGGTCGAACATGCCCTCTAGGGGAGTTGGAGCACCGTAAAGTAGCATAGTCGATATCACGGCCTGTAATACAGAGATCAGTCACAACTCGCCTCGCTGAGCAGAAATACCCGAGGTTGATAGCTGAAGTTGCTGATACACCACTTCTGCGACCTAGGGTGGGGCTGTATATGTTTGACCTTTGGATCGGAGATGATCGCCCGAAATCCACGACAGCTGAGCCTGGACTGAATATAACCTGAGGATTATGCGTAGGCTGTCATATCCTCAATTTATAGTGAGTGCAGACTCCACCATCTTATCCAGACTTGAGACGAGAATGTATTAAGAGTGAACCTCCTCGAATCGACGACATAAGTTAGCGCGTTCGTTTATGAGGGAAGAGACTTCTCCCGGCACTCCATTTATGCTTACAATTTCCTCGCTTCCTTCAAGCGTCCTTCCAGCTTGTGAGACCTAGAGTAAGTGGATGTCCATGCATAGCGACAATCTGTGATATGGATGCGACGGAGGCACTCAGAGGGCCACGTACTGAATGCATCCAAGTGGAACTAGCGGATTGCAAGGCCATGGGGAAGGGTAATGATGGTGGGGTGTGTGAGTGACAATATTAATGAGGTACCACTGAAGTACTATAGAACGAGAATTTCGGGTTCGTCAAGCGACCAAACGAGATCTGCTGAATCATTTAAATCTAGTGCAGTGTGCACAGCCACATTCAATGAACTTAGTACGAACTCTAGCTTCTGACTTCAGTACGTACTTCACATGTATGAATTTTATTGATCATCACAGACTGGTATTTATTCTACCTTAGGGTTTAACTCGTCTCCCCTATCAGAAGGAAGACAGTCGTTCCTTAGACTGACCGACACGTATGACTGAACGGTTTTCGGTCTACTCTAACATCCTGTTCGACTAGACTATATCATGATTTGAATCACCTCACCGTTGTCATCAATCTTACCCTTAAGCTTCGCTCTTATCTTTTTTATAATCTTGCCCTCTCATCAAGTAACCCTTCATCGATGCAAAACACCTCCTTCTCCGTCTTGCGTTCAAACACGCTTCGCGCGTCAGGCTTCTCTATTACATTCCCGTCCTCGTTCCCTTATATCACATATACTCCACTTCCCGCAGTACACCGTTTCTGATCAAGCCCCAAATTGCGCTCTGCTATTCACGCAAGCTTCAGGTATTTCGAGTACAAGTGAGTCTGAGGTCGAATCATGCCATAGCATTGACAACGCGAGGATGAAGATACAGGATATTCTCGGCAGCTCCTCATCTTTGCCGCTGTCTATTCCGAAGCTCGAACGCATTTCCAGTTGTAAGCTGATCATTCTAGCACTCATTCTCGTTTGATTTTGATCCCCATCTCCGTCTCCACACAGCAGGCCAATAACAGATGTTTGGCGACACATGTCGGTGTAATTTCTCGTTCCTAAGCTTTTGCTAGCCTGATCCTGATGCAGGACAATGCCCTTTAGGGCATTGGTAGGAACCGTGCACCTCGTCGCGCAGCTCCGCCTGCGAGCCCATCATCCACCCGTCGTTGGCGCAGTTTGCTCAGTCCCCTGTATTTTAGCACTCGGCCTGCAAATGCGTCACAAGCAAGACATATCCAACCCCGGTGTTGGAATCTCAGCTTGTTTATTGTGGGGATCTCGACGTATGGCTTCTCAGCAAGCGTCAGCATAGCTCTCTCTCTCCACTCCCACTCCCAATACACTCATATGTGCGCGGCCTTCGCCAACCGCATTCAACCTACGCTCTCTTCATCGAGCGTGAGGTCCTTTTCCAGGGACCACCTCATTCGAACACCCTTCTTTCTATTTCTTGCGACTGTTCTCGTTCCTCACCATCACATCTTATCGCCCCATCTCCCATCACATACACTCTACCTTTGTTAGCACATAATTTCTGGCGATATGGACCCTTATAGGTGCAAACGCGATTACTGTCCGACACTATCAATTAAACTATCCAATGATCCTACATAATCGACTCGCGCAAACGGGTCGACCGTCTTTTTCTCTATCCCGTCGCGAGCATTTTGTTGCTAACGAGGTGAATCGCCGGGTCACAACCACGTCATCTTCTGGCCCCTCAATGCATCAACGCGCGAGCATCAAGATTGACCATTGGCGTGTCTACGACTACGCAGTGAGTTCATATCGAGTTTTCATTGAAAGGCCTAGCTTGACGTATTAGACAATATAGTCCCGGCTATATCGCCCAGTATTCAATCGCCTGTATCATAGGCCCGCAGAGACAGTATCGAACATCGTCCGATCATATCTCGGATCTGTTCGTCCGTAGGATACCTCAAGTGTGTGTGGGCGATGTATCTGTGCGATGCTAAGTGGCAAGTACTATCTTTCATCAAGCTATTCCCTTCGATCTCATCCTTTACCCGTTCCCTCAATCAATGTACATCCAAGTACAATCGCTTTTTTTCTGCCCTGCTTCCCAACACGCTTCCGTCCATTCCAGGTTGACTTCGATGCGGCATCACACCAGTGCACTCAACAAGTTAAGTAAGTTTTCGAACAAGCATGCTAGTGCCCTTTTTTATTCCCTCCAAGCGCCTGCAAAACTGATGAGTTTGATCATGTCTAGGCTTCACCTCACTCTACCGCACACCCGCTTCCTGAATTCGAATACATTTTGTGCGCGTCAGGCTCCTCCATCACCCTTATCATGTTCTCGTTGACACGGTTCGGCATTACATCCTGTATGCTCGTCTCTGATAAAACCGAGATTCCTGCTCTGGTGTCCGAAGGATTCACGTACAGTACAAGTCAATTTGGAGTTTGAGTGCCATCGACACGTGAAGACAAAGATTCGATGAGCCCGTCTTCTTACCAACAATTAGCTCGAGGACTCCTGGGCAGCCGCACTTTTCCTTGTCACCTGTACCTTGCTTCGGTGATATAGCCTCTTCAGGGAAAAGGGCGTCGCTGTAGGAGTAGAGTCCCTCCCTACTATACGATGCTTGAAATTGTTGACGGACCGGGCCTACCAGAAGACAAGATCAAGAAGATTTGAAGACGACAATTCAGAATAGTTGTGCCTCACACTGAGCCTGCACCTCCGAATGGTCTTAGCGAGGCCGCAATTGTCGGCGGTAGAGTGTTATTCTTCTCAAAATTTTCTAATTGCACGTAACCAAAAAAATTTGCTAAGTAGTAGGGGCGAGGGCCATTGACCCGTTTCCCGCCAATCATTGTCGAGCCCAGACTGTAAAATGGACCAGAAGTCAAGGCACGTGCTCGTACGCGTCTCGGCATCTTACGTTTCGTACGTTCCGCAATTTCAGACCTCGGGAACTATGCCCGAACAGAGTTCTCTTCCAGCGTATAAAATACGGGCTTTTTTCTTTCCGTTTCACAGTTCTCTCAACATCCCTAGCACCTCTCAACCAGTCCCCTTCATCCTCTCTTCTCTCAAAAATGTTCGCTCGCCTCTTCGCTGTTGCCTCCCTCGTTGCCCTCGCTGTTGCCGATGGCCAGTGCAACACCGGCAGCATCTCGTGCTGTGAGAGTACTACCTCCGTATGTGAATGTATTTGTCCTAGTGAAGCAAAAAAATTACGAATGACCCGTAGACCAGCAACTATAACAGTGCCGCCAAGTTACTGGGTCTTGTACCCGTTGTTGCTGATGTTGCTGCGGTCGTTGGGCTCAGCTGCAGCGGCGTCACCGTTGTCGGCACCAGCTCTGGCTGTGAAGCTAACCAGGAGCCTCTGTGCTGTACCGACAACAAATATGTAAGTTCTTCCACGATGTCTATGTGACTCCCTAGTAATCGTTACACTTTAGAACGGTTTGGTTAACCTTGGCTGCACACCTATCAACGTCGGCGCCTAGACCCTCAGCATGCTCTTGGTGGACAGTTGATTTATTTGGGGAGTGATTGATGTGGGGTTGGAAGGTCGCTTATTGATATTGATGTCCCCGGGCCTCGTTGAGGATCATAATACTTCATCCTAATCACACATTTTGTTTGCTTTTCTTGTGCATTCATGTGAGATCCTTCACTAAGAGAGGAAGTTTTGAACCCTCAGGACAACATTTATAAGTACAATCCCTCACTCGATTATGTCTATTATAAGACCTTCATTCAGTCGTGAACAACCTTGCAATACTCATTCATCTCGTTAAATCATTGATATCTGTCTTGTTCCTCAGCAGGACGCCAAAAACAGAGTTTTTGGGAGATACATCAATATTGTTTTTCGTTCCTGCGCTCTTGCTAGCAATACCTTCTGGGGCGATGATGCAAACCGCATGCCTCGTCGTTCAGCGTGTGCATCATCCCCCCTTCATTGGCGAAATTTATTGGATTTCCTACACTTCAACACTCGACCTGGAAATGCGTTGCAATCAATACTGCGCCAACCACGGCGTTGAAATGTCAGCTGATTGCAGCAGGGATGAGGTGACCTGAAGCTGCGTGTCGTGTCTCTTGTGCTCTTATGGAGTATGTACACCCAGCCGTGCACATCATGTCGTCGTACATGATCAATTGTAGTTTACTTGTCCTGCATGATGAAAGTCGCACAGCAACGTCTCGTTTAACTACTCATCACTCGAATCACTAGTGCTTCTACTAGCCCATCAAACTCGTTGACCGTAAATGTAGCATTCTCACTGTCAAACTTAAGCACACTACACCCTCGTCCACCTGATTTTCACCTTCCAGAAACCACCAGACGACGCCAGCGCCAGGAAAGAATAACTGCTATCCATTCCAATCATCGTCATCGTCAAAACTCGACATCGTCTCTGGCTTGGCAGATACGAGCGTATTGGACACTTTGCCAACAGACGCAGAGGTAGATGCAGAGGTAAGTTTTGCGCGAGGCAGAAGCCATGTGCAGGTACATAGAACGCATGAGTGGAGAGCTCGTATTTGATGACGGGGTGAGGAAGGAAGAGGAAGTGGTGTTAGGTGAGGAGTTGTGTTGCGATTGGGAGGTGGATAAGGATGAGGGGCTGCGGAGGGATTGTAGGAATGGAAAGAGGGATGGTGCGGGTACTGGGGATATGGCTACTGGGCCTGGGGTTAGTGCTGATATGATGGGTCGGGAGACATCTGAGAGGAGGGTGGAGGCGCGTTTTTAGAATTTGGAGAACCTGGTGAAGAGGGGTTAATACATTGTAGGAACGAAGGGAGAAATCACTCACACCTCGCCTCCAAGCTTTCTCCCCGTGTTTCCCCATGCCCCACCAACCACGGCGAGCGATCCAATACCAGGCACTGACGAGGGCGGTGCGACGGAGCGTATTTGTGCTGCATCAAATTCTAGAGTCGACATGCCCACCGCCACAATAGAAGTGTCCACTCCTAGATTCGACGTAACCCGAACGACGTCTGGCGTCGAGTCGAGATCCACGCTGGTGCTCATGCTAACGTAGCGTGCCTTGTAAATGCGGGTGGAGGATGAGACATATCGTGAGATCTGCGAGGGAATATTTTCTCTTGTCTTGCTCTTGCTGCTTCTTTGTCTCGCGAGTGCTTCGTGAGACTTGGCTCGATATCCTCCGCGCAGTCGAGAAAAGGAAGAGAAAGGCCCTCATGCTAAACGAATGACACGGAACTCGCCTAACCCTTGAATGGGTAGGTATTGATGTAGACGAGTCGCTCTCGCGCTGTGTATGCCGTCTTGGAATTCTCGTTCTTCCTTATGTATTTGGTGCAAGAATGTGTGACGGGATGAAACAAGTGGGGCCGCCTAGGTCGCTCAGGCCAGATGCGAGTACTCTTGCGCCTCCTTTGAGGCCATCTAGGACAGAGGTGATGCACGAGGGTTGGGGAAGGGGAATGTGTGGTAATGTGGTTCGCAGTTGACGATCTGTTCCCATTGGCGTTGTACTGGAAGACAAGAAAGGGTCAGTTCGCTCTATTTAAGAATTCAGGACGTGTGGTGGCGAATAGCACATTGAATGAAGGTCACGAGGGAAGAAACAGAATGCAAGAACTCACAATCTCCCAACTCCCCTTCCACAACACCCAGCCCGCCCGTCAGCTCGGGATGTTTACTCTCAATGGCTGCAATTGCGTGCAGGAGGTCGGCGTGCCTGTGATTGCATTCTATTGACATCAATATTGATACAGGTAGGCAGAAATCAGGGCGTACTTCTCAGCAAGCGTCAGTGCAGCTCTCTCTACACCCCCGCTAGAACTGGCACTCCCAATGCTCACATGGACGTGACCTTCCCTGATCGTGTTCAACCCACATAACTCCCCGAACCTCACCATAATCCGCCTCTTTATCGAATGCAAAGTCCTTTCGGGTCCGCCTCCAACCTCGGATGAACTCCAACCCCATGGGCCGTATGTTTTCCTATCACACATCAGCAACGGCCATAGACGTAGAATGCGCGTGTCGCGAATACACATCGACGCGTGAGAATACATAGGAAATGGAGGATTGCTGGCGTGTAGCTTTGAGGGCTAGTGCTGCCGCAGTCCGGTTCAGAACTTCGGTTCGAACCTGAACCTCTCTGAACCGGACTCATGGTCCGGTCCTAGGTTCAGCCAAGACTCAGAACCGAACCTCTCCAGAGGTTCGGGGTTCGGCTGACAGTGAATAGGTTCGAACGGGTTCGAACCTCAGAATTTTTGGGTAGGTTTCACACATTTTTTAATCTGCATTTCAGTACTTATGATGTTCATTTCTGCGGACTCACCAAGTCCGTGCTTGAGAGACTGTCTGTCTGGAATAAGGACTGTCACAACACCACTCGTATGGCATGATCGGACTTGTATAGTCTACCCATATGTGCACAATGGGACCCTTGTCTCATGTCGATGCATTGATACTGTATGGTTTCACGGTATGTACATTATTTTGCGCTTTAATAGTGTTTCATATTTCAATCAAACCTTTGTTTCCAATTGCAAGTTGTCTCTTGCTCAATGCTATGATCATGATCGCAGTGCCTGCAATGCCCTGATCAAGAACCTTCTCGCCGGCAACGAGGAGGCCATGCTTCAACTACCACAGAACGATTCTGGGCGCTTGATTGCACTTGTCTTCTGCTTCCATCACAGGTATGTGTTGCAATCGGCTTCAGCGTGTTCATGATCCATTTTTGAACAGGAGCTGAACCCTGGCGTGGCACGGAGATACTTTGGTGCTCGGCTTCTTTGTCAGGCTATCGACGTGAGATGTCTCATATCATGGTAAGCCGAGATCAATCTAGACATTTTGGCCTGTGGATGGGAATGAAATGACCTTCAGATGCACTGTCATTCAAGTTGTCACCAAGCTCTGAGCACAATGCAAACACTGTCAGGCAAGGCGTCTCACAAGCAGTACGGCGCCAGATTCATGCTCAACATGGGTTTATGTTCTTCGTAATCTCTGCTCAGGGTCTCATTATACTGCCTTGAGATGACGCTCACCAGCAGATAAAATACACATAGTAGTGAGCGAGATATACAAAGTGCAATATCCCCACCCCAAAGTGACATCCAATAATGCGCTTACTTCTGTGCATGATCCTTTACCTTGTTGGAGTACATTGCACATCCTATGGCGGTGACTTGGCATCATGATAGCGGCACTAATCGCTCCTGAACTGATCGTCACATGGGCTATGTGCCAGCGGTTCAGCGCTTGTCAAAATCAGACTCATCTGACGAATACTAGATGTGCTTGTTCTCTTTGACACTAGCTCGATGCTCGATATTTAATATGATTAGATTTTATGCTGGTGTTCTGAACTTCTGCACTGAGCTAGGTGTGCAGCCGCTTCCTCACCTCACTGTTTTCAAAGATCTCAGGACGCTGATCTGTGACTGACGTCTGCATCCAACCACCTCCAATCATTTTGAACCCATCTTCTACAGGCGATACTATGTCAGCCTTCCTTGGACTTTTTCACCCATGCATTGAGGTCGAACCTGGTTCGAACGCAAACCGGACCTCCTGAACGCGTTCAGAGGCGTTCGGTCCAGAGTTCAACCAACAGCCAAACCTGAACCTAGGGTTCGGTTTGGCGTTCGGAAAATTTTGCCAGAGAACCGGACCGAACCGGACTTCGGCAGCACTATTGAGGGCTTTGGTCGCGTCGTTCATGAAACCACCTGGTGTGTGGGCACTTGTGAGTGGGGTGCTGCGAGCTGAAGGTGGTTCATAGGGCGGGGATCCGGGATGAGAACTGGATGTTTAAGAGGGTGGGGTGTTTGCTGCTTACTGGTGTCGTGCTGTTGGTGCTCATAGTGGTAGGCACGTACGTCAGTAAGTCAGTATGAGCCTCTTGCAAAGGATCAGATCAAGGACACCCAACACAAACGCAGGGCTTGACTGGTGGGGTAGGGGAAACTTCCTACGAAGTGAGCTGTTGTGGTTGTTCGACATGAGGGGATTGAAAAGAAGTTTTCGAACATGGCCTCTAAGGGAGTTGGAGCATCGTAAAGTAGCATAGTCAATATCATGGCCTGTAATACAGAGATCAGTCGCAACTCGCCTTGCTGAGCAATAAACCCCTGAGGTTGATAGCTGAAGTCACTGACGCACCACTTCTGCGACCTAGGTGCGGAGCTGTATAATGTAGATTGGAGACGATCGCCCGAAAATCAACGACAGTTGAGCCTGGGCTCACTACAACCTGAGGATTATGCGTAGGCTGTCATATCCTCAGTTTGTAGTGAGTGTAGACTCCGGCATCCTACCCAGACTTGAGACTGGGAATGTTTTGAGAGTGACCCTCCTCACGGATCGATGATGTCCTGCGACATAAAGTTAGCGCGTTCGTTTATCAGGGTAAGTTACACCGGACTTGTGCCTTCTCCTGGCACTCCATTTATGCTTACGATTTCCTCACTTTCTTCAAGTGTCCTTCCAGCTTGTAAGACCTAGAGTATGAGGCTTGATGTATGTCCATGCATAGGGACAATATGTGATATGAAGGCAGTTGAATGGGCGGTATTACAGGGCCAGGCTGGCGCATTGTTGTAAGCTGAGATCAGTGGGGAAGGGGGAATGACAGTGGGGTACTATAGAACCACCATCTCGGTGAATTTAGTGGCCCAGCTGGGAAGCCGGCATTTGAACCAGAGGAGGGAAATGACACCTCCGAGTCCGATGTCTTCTTTGAAGACGTCGCGAATGCGCATGCCGGCGTAGAGTCAAGTTCATCCCCATCCGAGTCAATAGCTAAGGCTCCACAGAAACGGAAGAACCTCTGCCAGCCAGCGAGCAAGCCCCCAATATTCTCACGATACTAAATTATGCACAGCCACACCCGAACTGTCTCACCTTTGCCTTGCAATAATCTGATTAATTCACCCTTCAGCAATGCTCTATGCTCTTGGACTCAAAGTGAGGTTGCAAATCAAACCGGCAATTAATTGTCGTCAAGAGACAAACTAAAACTCGCCATAGTAGAACCACAATTGTAATGTGTCAGGAAATTTCCAGCAGGCATTATAATACTCCCATATCGTAATGCTACATTTATCACCATCATGATTCGATTACAATTCAATCATGATGCAATTACGATTTGATTATGAATTTGATTACGATGTTGTTGAGACTATTGACAAAACTTTGAGTGAAGTGGATGCGATCCTGTCAGTACCCTAAGCAACGCGGATCAGGGTCTGTGGATACACCTAAGTAAAGCGGATAGGATCCGCACTCAGCCACTGCCAAAGGAGGCAATAGAAACGACTGTATTCACCTAAGTAAAGCGGATAGGATCCGCACTACTCTAGATTGGCTACACTGGTATAAATGAATGTAAGTGAAGACATACCTCAGCCGCTGCCAAAGGAGGCGATAGAAACGACTGAGGGAAAGTATGTACCAAAGCACCTCTGATATATGGGCAAAAACCCACTTGCTAACCGACCATGCGTATTGCCTATGAGTCCATGACTTGTATCAAACACACTCACTATTACATGTACACCTGAAACATTCTGAAACAATCTGATGCACCTTATTACGTATCCGAGCGCATGCACTTGCATCTGGCCGCGCATGCGGGTGACGGATCATCCATGTGTGCATGAGCGAGCGTTGGATGGGAGATGGATACCCACGGATGGGTTTAGGATGGGTTGGATGGATGTGGGATATTATCTGGTTTTGTCAACTATCACGACAGCCTGACCTGAGTTTCAATTATACTCTATTGCTCACTACCATCTGCATCAAAGGTATGCAGTATTTCTAACGTCTACATCGTGTATCACTCATACTAGATAGAATCTGTTGTCAAGCCTCTTTCTCACTGCTCACAAATTCCCCACAAGTCCTCATCTCGCCTTTCAGTGCCATCAATTTCCATTTCAATGCCTCCTCAATGGACATCAGATGACATGAAGTGTAACATATGTGGAATACTAGTATGAGCTCGTGGACTGGTGCCACATGCAAAGAAATGTAGGAAGCTAGCACGGGAGAAAGAAGAAGATGACGAGGTCAAAGCAATTATCAAAGAAGCGGTGAAGAAACGTACATATGCACACCATTTTCATTTTGTCCCATATCTCACCTCACAACTGCACAGAACACAAGGCTCACAATCAATCCAAACAATGTGCAGCGTCATCTACAGGTAAGTCAGCACTCAACTAATTTGCTTTCACATTGATCACTCGAATAATACTATTGTCAGTTGATCCAATCAAAATTTGGTCGACGCAACGTCACAACCACGAGAACGAAGCTGCAGAAGATAATATTGGTACATTTGCATAATCTAGTGGATTCCCAAAAACTGATCAATCATTTTATGTGTCAGACATGCAAGGATCAACGCCTCGAAGTCATATATCGGACTTCAATATGGCATTGCCTGGCCTTCAGAGCCACCATGACGATGCAAATCCTGAAGATCAGGAACCATTACCGCAGCTGGATGATATCAAGGTTGATTATCATCCTCACAGCCAGATTCTGTCCACCATTCATCATTTCGCTGATTTCTCTCGCACATGTCCCATGGAAGCTTCAGTACCTCGGAATCATGCACTATGGGAACCATTCCGAACACGGCTCAATTTTGAGGTCACAGAAATTGCCCTTGAAGCTGCACTCACCGCAGAGCAAACCAATTGTCTGCTTAGTCTCGTTCATCATTCCGCACGTAGGGATGAAACCTTTACACTACAAAACTGTGGTGAAGTCCAGGAGTTGTGGTCAACCACTTCCCAATGCTTCACACCAGTAGGCAAATACAAGTTCAATTAGACGCACTTAACTAAAACATAAGTAATTTATCAAGTTTCAAGTTAATGTAGTTTCGGTTCTGTATAAAAACAAGGTGCACAAGTTTGATATGCACTACCGTCCTCTTTGGGATTGGGCTCTTGATATGTTGCGAGATCAACATCTTGCGCCACACTTCATATTTGATGCACAACGCCTATACAAATTCAATGGTACACGTTTTTTGGAGTTGATTTCAATGATAGCTTACATCATGAGGACATATTGAAGGTAAGCTGCAACTGAAGCTGAATTCTGTGCTAATGAGCCTCAGATGGCTATCTTTGTGGCACAAAGGATCCTCTGCCGTTCACAGAGTAAGCTCGGCTATCTGCTTCTGCGATGCATACACCACTATATTGATCTCGACATTTACACTGGATTTGAGGTTCACACTGAAGATTCAATTGTTGCAGGAAGACAAGCTCTGCGGGAATTTTCAGCGCTGATGGAGGTAAGTTATGCTTCGCAATACTTCCCGACCACTCACCTATGATCTGTGATTAGGAGTATATTCTCAATTCACAGCCTGTAACAGGCAAGGACTGGAATTTCCCCAAGAAACACGCAAGTTTGCATCTATTCGACCATATCTTGGCGAAAGGTGCGACACAAAACTACAACACAAAACCGAACGAGAAGATGCACGGCCCCGTGAGGGACATCTACCACAATCGAACAAATTTCAAGGACATTGCTACACAGGTTCATGTGTCAACAGGACTGGATTAACATGAACTAATAAGAACTGCCCTTAACGAGCTCAGATACTTTGCTATGATCATTGGCTGCTAACCTTAACATCAATGTGTTCTGAACTCGATTAGTTGGACGAGTACAATCGGAAAGCCAATATCCTAACAACAGAAGATGCAGACACAGAAAATCCTGCAATTTCTGTGGATCCAGCTCCCTGCACCCACGTAAAGTTAGGCTCGATGCAAGGTGACATCTCATTTGCAAGTCTCAAGCAGTCGCATGCAGATGACAGGGCCTTCGTCGGTTTCGAATCAAACTCAACACCTTCCTGAACACATTCTTCCCCAGTAATGACATTCCTTTACCAGATGGCAAGTGCATTCATTTGCAGGCTGACAACAAGGTACACCAACAATTCACCCTGCTAACTACTCACTAAAATTGTGCTGCACAACATAATATTTAGATTACTGGATACAAATATCTGCAAGTCAACTACGAGTCTATGGTTGACTGGCGCCAGTGCAAAGACCTCCTTCGATGCAACCCCAAGTTCTTTGGATCTCTGTGATATGATTGTGTTATGGTTCAAACCAACAATCAACCATTTTTTGCTCACCTAATCTTCATGTTCAGTTGCTCAATTGGTGAAACAAATCTTTCACTGGCACTCATACATCCCCTCCGTTCCACTCTGCTTCGGACTTCGTCCAAGCAGTTCCTTCCACTCCGCTTCTACTGTTGGTTCTGACCGCAGTAGTCTCCCGCCTCCCTCCTGTCAGGCAGAACAACCCCCGCCCAACTTCCCATGCTCACCTAGTAGTCCGTCGGTCCTCCTTCAGGGGACCCCTGTTCCGACGTCCTGTCGGAACCCATAGAACTCGCATCAGACTACACCCCGAAATTAGGGGCACATACTCAGGTAAGGGGCACAGTGTACGAGCTGAAGCCAAGCCCCTCAGACTCCGCTTTACCCCTGAGCACAGTCTTAACAGGGGAAGAAGAAACAAGAAGGCCAATACTCTGTATTCCCACACATTCTGATGCCATCATGATGATGGCTAGATTTGAGTACTGAGATGAGAAATATAGTGATGGGGTAGTTAATTAAGTATTGGCGGAAGCAAATTCTGTTCCCGAAAAATGAATTTGACAAGCTGAAATGTTATGTGTAACATAGGGCTAATTTCGACGCCGACATGACCTTCTGTGACATGTGACTATTGAATTGAATGAAATTGTACAGTAGTACTTCAGCAACCTCACATCTCTAGCATTTCCTCAATGTACTCTGCTCCTCCATTGTCCGTCCTCAAACCTTTTGGTATAGAACATCATTATACATATTTTCGTCGGACCGTAGCACTGCTTTAGTGCCGGAGGACAGGCGCTTGCAATGCTGTACAATACAAATGTTGAGCAATCCTCAAGTGTGGTTAGGCGACGGATGTATAGGTCATCATATAAATTTGTGCATTGTACTGTGAGTTTAGTATTATATTCCCAAAACATGAGTTTTCACCAGTGGAACAGTTCTGCAGCTTCTGCTATCCCTTCGGCATCTCAGACAGGACTGAAATCCTGCGTGTCCGAGCATGTGCCAGCTCATTTGACCAGTATAGCTAATCAGATTGCTCGTTGTCACGGTCATGGTCACTGTACATAGCTCACAGCCATTCTATTTAGCTCATGGTCACTCCACTATACCAAACATTGCGCCGATGTACTCCGTCATGCACTACAAGATCCTGTAGGAGTAATGCATTAAAACAGCTAAGTATCAGTAGGTGGTGATGCATGGGGAATGCTAAGTGTGGGCTGCATTACCTTCTCACCCAAACTGGCAGTGTAATCACCTCCTCATGTTAGGCCTCTCCACACTATTCCCACACATTACATTTCCGCATTTTTCAATCACACAGTGTGGGAATTACCCCACAACACCCAAAACATCACCCAATATGGTATACCCCACAATTTCAATTATTCCCACACCCTCCCCACCTCACTGCAGCTTCACCACCACACCACAATAGCTCCCCCTGTATATATGTATAATACAATATAATAGACCGCTTTTTTTTGTTTATTTGTGTGCCTGCTCCTGCTCCAGGGGCCATTCAAAATAAGGTAGGGTACAAAACACTTTCGCATTTTTGCCCATTTGATATGGAAGTGTTCCAGGGCATCCAGAACATGTTTAGGAGCATACATGAAGAGATTACCATCTTTATTTGACCCCCTGAAGCGCCCTACATCAATAGGTACAGTATACAGTGGCTCAAAAAAGTGTCTCAATGTTTGCACATTTTCATATAATTGCATCATTGTGAGCCAGGGTGTAGGAATATAATAGGGCTGTAGGGACATGTCTGAATCCGTCGTATCCAGGCTTGAATCTGAGATATGCAACGTGGGAAAGTGATGTCATGGAGCGGAGATACAAAAATCAATTCAACACTCTTTCTACACAATTCAACCAAATTTTTATAGAATATCTCACATTATACTTGTGTCCACTAAAGTATTATTAATAAAATTTACTGTAGACACTATACAAGCCTTCAGAAATTCATTGGTGATCACCATTCTATGCTTTTTACCTCTACTATTTAGTATGCTATTTGCTTAAACAGTACTGACAAGCCTGCAAATGCTGCTCAAGTGACAAAAAGACTGTATAATATCTAGAAGTAGCTTATTACACCATAGACACCATGTTGTGACTTGGGGGTAAGTGATATTAAGGCTAGAATTATGTAAAAACATCCCTTTCTATTGAGCACTATAGAAGTAAGAGTTGGTAATCTCTTCATGTATGCTCCTAAACATGTTCTGGATGCCCTGGAACACTTCCATATCAAATGGGCAAAAATGCGAAAGTGTTTTGTACCCTACCTTATTTTGAATGGCCCCTGGAGCAGGAGCAGGCACACAAATAAACAAAAAAAAGCGGTCTATTATATTGTATTATACATATATATACAGGGGGAGCTATTGTGGTGTGGTGGTGAAGCTGCAGTGAGGTGGGGAGGGTGTGGGAATAATTGAAATTGTGGGGTATACCATATTGGGTGATGTTTTGGGTGTTGTGGGGTAATTCCCACACTGTGTGATTGAAAAATGCGGAAATGTAATGTGTGGGAATAGTGTGGAGAGGCCTAACATGAGGAGGTGATTACACTGCCAGTTTGGGTGAGAAGGTATAATCAGGCTAACTAGCCTCATTAATGCAACACAGTTGACTGGTAGTTAGCCTGGTTTAATGCAATACAATGACAGTATAGCCTGCATGCACGGGCCAGCTTGTTTGGATGATTACAGACTCATTATCTCATTGACACTCTTACTGATCATGGTTTCACCTTACACTATCAACATAGCAGGTATTTATATGCGCTCGGGGCTTTGTATTGTTTTCCTCATTGAATCAACGCCAGTATCTGGCCTCTCTTTGTCTGTTCACCCTCATATCGTTCTCGCTCCGCTCACCTCATTGAGTGCCCATTACAGTTTGATTTGACCACAATCTTGACTCTCAAAACTCGAACCTCCTATCCTCACACTCTTATTACTGATATGTCTGACTGTAGCACAAGATCCGAGATGGAGGCTGTGTCCAAACCACAACTCAATAATACCCCTATGGTGGAGAATTTCCACCAACTCTTGCAGGCCATCTTGGCACTTGGACAAAGCTCTTATCAGCTCGATGAGAACCAGCGCACCATTGGGCATGCCCTCGAAGCCATTACTGAAAAGATTTCTGCCCTTAGGTTCCCAACTACACCTGCCAGTGCCTCAAGTATGCATAATTCGATGGATACTGTCGTTCCATGCAGTGTTGCCAAATTTCGGGAGCCACGCCTGTTCAAAGGCAATGCAATTGAAGTAGATCCATTTGTGGACGAGATTCTCAGTGCCGTTGAGCTCTTGCGCTCATCCCTCCCCACTGACATGGACAAAACCTTGTACTTGTCCACCTACTTAGATAACGGCTCTCCTCACTTGTGGTTCACAGCCATCCGCCATACTAATGAGGACCTTTTACATGATTTTGATCTACTCATTGAGGATTTTAGGCACCACTTGGGTGATCCAGACACCGAAGGCACTGCGCTGCGCAAGATCAAAAACCTCCGGCAGACTGGCAGTTGTGCGAGCTACGCCTCCAAGTTCCGCGAGTTACTCGTTTACATCAATTTCAACACCCCAACCACCATTCAGAAGTACTATGAAGGACTAAAGGACAAAGTCAAGGATTTGTTACTAACCGTACACGATCCTCCCACAGAATTTGATGAGTTTGTTACTCTAACAGTCGCAATCGACAACCAGCTTCACCATTGTGAAGTTGAACGCAAGACCACCAAGAAGCCCATGTCTCATCAACAGAATGCTGTGGACATGACTGCCCAGCGCAGCACCCAATTCAAACCTTCAACCTCAGCTACCAATCTCCCTCCTGGCATACCAATGGAGATTGATGCCACAAAGACTGTACCCCGTCAGCCTCTCACCAAAGAGGAACGGGACCGTCGTTTCACTCAGGGCCTCTGCTTGTATTGTGGAGGTACTGAGCATACTGTCAAGAATTGCCTGAACATGTCCAAACATGTCAAGAAGAAATTCAACACGTGGAATGACTCGGGAAAAGCTTAACCGGTTGTCCCCCTGTCACTGGGCATCCAGTTGAAGAAAATGGGACACGTCAAGACCAATCTGTGACTCCCATGCCCCCTTTTGTTCATCTATTGGACAGAACATATACCTCACTTGTAAAGTCTGCTCCTGCCTACATTTTTTCCTCTAATTCATATTTAAATTTGCCGTCACATTTCTTCATTTCTATTGTCCTCTTGTTCCCCGACAAGAAGCCCATTCATACTTTTGCCCTTATTGACTGGGGTGTGACCACATCGTGTATTTCAGATTGTTTTGCTTCTCGTCATGCTTTGACTTGTCGTCCTAAGGACATACCCATACCCATCATGGCAGTTGATGACCGCCTGATCACATCTGGACTGATCACCCATGATGTCATCACTCACATTTCAGTTGCTGACCACAAAGAGACACGACCACTCGCGGTTGTGTCTGTTGCTTATCCCATCATTCTAGGCCTAGACTGGCTTCGCCAGCATAACCCAAATATTGATTGGGAGGACTCTACCCTCTCACTCAAGTGCTGCAGACTCACTCACATGAACCCCGTTGTAGTAATGGCAAAAGGCTTTGGTCTTATGCCGAAGCTATTACCATCCACGCCCAATGTCTCGGCAGCCGTTGGAATTGGCTTTGGTCTCTTTGATGCTGCATCTCACTCAGCTCG